CCAAATGGATTTCGGAGTAAAACGTTATGTATATTTTACTAGACAGTGCACAATATACTTACTCTTTTCTTCATTTTGTTGCTCTATCATCCGTTGATCTCCGAATACGATCCCGACTTAATTCCTTGGGCTTTTACTCAGATTTCAAAGCTCCAAACTACTTGAATTTATTCCATAATATCTACATAGCTCGGAATCACTCCTACAAGGCATAAAACACATAATTAGTGCAAGGCACTAGCGATTAAAGCTCAAACTCAATTAAAGTGCAGTAAATTTGAGTGTAATAAGCGACTAAAATACGTAATTATAGCCTATTATCAAGATGTTATAAAACTTCAGTTTATGGGGATGATTTCTATAAGTATGTTTATCAGATTATTTAAAAACAAAATTATAAATAACTTTCTAAAGTAAGTTTTGAAGAAGATGATAGTTGTCACGTCCCAAACCTGGGCCTGGACGTAACACGTCACTCAGTGCCTGACTACATGTGACCGAGCGAACCAACTGGCTGGCTGAATCAACATGTGATATCATAACATACTGAATGCGAAAGATAAACTAACACATGCTGATATACTGAAAGTCTGAATGATATAAATCAAAGTACGAAAATACTAATACAATTTCTGAAATATATTTGTAGCAAATATAGCTTAACATGAAAAACATGAGACTCTGTCTCACTGTTACTGTAGTCTATGAAGCCTCTATTGAAGTACTGAAAAACACTAACTATCTGTAAATACTGAAAGGCTGTAAAGTAATGATAATGCCTCGAAAGAACTGGGGATCACCTAATAGCTGATACGAGAGTCCTAGTGCTCTGAATCGTCAACCTGTAAATCATTACCTGCATTGTGAGATGCAGGCTTCGGGCAAAAGGGATATCAGTACATTTGAATTGCACTGGTATGTAAAGCAACTGAAATAAAGAATTATAAATGCTGAAACTGAAACTAAGCTGATAACTAAGAATTGATAATTTATAACTGAAATGATAACTATTGAAACTGAAACTGAAATGATAACTGATGACTGATAACGAATAACTGAACTAATAACTGGTAACTGAAATGATAACTGGTAACTAATAACTTAAATGTTAACTGATAACTGATAACTGAAATGATAACTGATAACTGAACTGAACAAAGGAAGTAAGGTTATGAATACTCCCTNTTGATTTACATAATATTGGAATACTGAATCATACTGAGTTACATAATACTGGAATATTGAATAGGACTAGAATGAGGCATGTATTCTTGAACAGATTATTAACACTGAAACTTCAACTGTTTATGATATGCTGAGTAAACTATACTGAGACTTAGGGACATCGAACCCAAGTCTATATTGAATACGAACTGAGCTCACAACGTTCAGAATGAAAGTCATGAACGAGTTATAAAGCTAGAGAATAGGAGCTCTACAACTATTCAAGGAACTAGGCTTAACTATATTTCTGAGGCAATCGATACGTCGTAAAAGAAACATAGTGCAGGGAGAATCATTAACATTCCCAAACATAGAGAGTTAGTCTGACATACCTTAACTTCCCGCTCTTGAGCGTAATATAACATTCACCAACCCTTTCAACTTCAATCTATATCAATACAAGTCAAAGAGATTCCATATTATCAATAATACTCATGTTTTGTTCGCTTAGGCATTTTCGCAAATACTTGGTGGCATAAAGCTTCATAGTCCTTATTAATGGTGTTTCTACACCCAATAACCCATTCTCTTGCTCCTAAATAAATTCTAAAGTCTCAAATGGTTATAATCAACATTATTCTTTATCACCCATAAGGTAAACAACACCCTTAACCAATAATCAACAATTAACACCCCAAACCTATAATCATTCATGTTTTTCTATCAAACCCATAAACTCATATCTCATGAACTAGAGTCTATAATCATTAATCCAATGCTAGAATCAATTAGAAGGTGAAGATATTACCTTTGTGACGTTCTATCTTTTTGAATTCAAGTTCTAGGATTTCTTCTCTCAACAATGGTGTCCCAATCGAATATCTTATGATATGGAGGGTTTGCCCATGTTAATAAGATGTTGGAAAATTGAAATTAACTTAGAATCACCATTAAAACTTACCTTGGGTGGTGGAGGGACCCTTAAGGAGTTGGGTTTTTGAGAACTTTCCTTTATAGGGCAAGTTTTTATGTTTTGGGGCTGTGGGAGAAGAAATAAGTCTAAAAAAATGACTTCCCAATCGTCCATCGCGTCCCAGTTGGCACTACCGCGGTCCCGACCGCGGTAAACGCTGGGACACTGCCTCACCACCGCGGTCGCGGTAAAAACGCGGCAGGACCACGGTGGTCGCACACAATTCTGTAAAACAGGTATAACCTTTTGCACAGAGCTCCGTTTGGGCTCCACAATATATCGTTGGAAAGCTATTTCAAAGGTCTACAACTTTCATGCTTTGAGTTTTCCAAATTCCTTACACATTTTCACTAAAACCTGATGGAACGCGAACCTTCTGCAAACTTAGTCGATTTTGTCAAATCTTATGCACCTCACTTTCCATCTTGATTTTTAAACAACTATTTTCACCCATAATCATCCCGATAGTACTTCATATGTCCAAAATATAACCTTACTACTTCTTTAACTCATTCATATCTAATCCGAATGTGTAGGGTGTTATAATAGTAACTTATTGGATTTAGCTTTGTACATTATCAATGCATTTTAACCTGTTATGCTAAATCATTTATCTAGTTTTTTAAATTACTAATTCTACTAATGATAAACTTATTATCTGTACAAAACATCAATTACATGATAGCATTAAACATGCTGAAGTTCAACAAATATAGAACAAAACTTCAGCTAAAACATGCTGAAGTTCAGCAAATAGAGAACAAAACTTCAGCTACTAGAATGCTTAAGTTTAGCAATTACAAATAAAAAACTTCAGCAAATAGAGAACAAAACTTCAGCTACTAGAATGCTTAAGTTTAGCAATTACAAACAAAAACTTCAGCACACTTGGTTCAACAATTTTTGCTACTTTAGGCCCGTCTACTAGAATGCTGAAGCTTGCGTGATTGCTTTTGCTACTTCAGGCCCGTATGTTGAAGTTACGCGAAAAAGTGGGTACCTTTACCATTTTTTTGGCAAAGCGGGTACAAGTTAAAACGTGACACAAAAAGCAGGTATAGATGAAAATGCCCCAAAATATTACCCTTTCTCTGATGCGTTGTCATAGTAAAAATAGCACGGGTTAGCCAGTTTTCGGATTTGTCATTCAAAAATAGCCAGCGTTTGCAAGGTTATTCAAAAATAGCCACTATTTTGCTTCAACACGGAAAGTTTCAACATAATATACCGGAGATCGATGCACCTATGTATGAACTTCCAGCATATTATGCTAGAACTCCAACACACGGAAAGTTCCAGCATAATATACTGGAGATTGGAGCACCTATGTATGGACTTCCAGCATATTATGCTAGAACTCCAACACACGGAAAGTTCCAGCATAATATACTGGAGATTGGAGCACCTATGTATGGACTTCCAGCATATTATGTTGGACTGATATATTATACTGGAACTCCAATATATTATGCTGGAATATTTTCTGGATTTTGAACAGTGTTTTGTTCAAATTTATCTTTACATGAAAATGGTTAAATTTCGATTACTTTTGAAACTGTGGCTATTTTTGAATGACCACTTGTAAATCTGACTATTTTCGAATTTCTCCCGTTGTCATACCATGCCATTTTCCCGAACCGTACACGTAAAAATTGTACGGGGCGCCCTATTTAGTCTCCCCCATTTAACCTATACCTATTTTTTTAAAAAGTTTTAACTTGTACCTACTTTTTAAACATCTTCAGCCCCCTTTCTCCTCTTCCTTCTCCCAGTGATCTCTATATCCCTCCGGAATTTAACATTGATGTAACAATATAATGGCTCGATTTATCATGTGTTTCATTGTTTTGGTTTTTTTACTAGTCTATTGTGCACACAGTTATGAAGCAAGAAAAGTACTCTTGAACAACATGGAAAAGAAGAAGACTGATCCTAATCATCCTTCTTTAGAAGCCAATCTGCTACTAAATGCCCTTCCCCAAGGCAATGTTCTGCCTTCTAAGTTTCCAAAAAATGGAATTCACGCCAAATTTTTTAACAAGAAGTATCTTAACAGTCATCGACAAATTTAATCATATTTACCTATTTCTGAAGAACAGCCAAGCTTTTAGTATGCATAGGTGATTGTGGCAGGACACCATTTGAAGGAGGCAATCCAATCAAACCAAATTGACATCGAATCATATGGAAAGTCAGTTAAAACTTCAACTCTAAGAAGGCTGAAGTTCGTCAGTTACAAACAAAAATTTCGACAGTTACAAAACAAAAACTTCAGCTCTAGAGCTGAAGTTCGCCAGTTACAAAAACAAAAACTTCAGCAATTACAAATTAAAACTTCAGCAAATAGATAACAAAACTTCAGCTACTATGCTTAAGTTCAGTAATTACAAACAAAAACTTTAGCACATTTGGTTCGGCACACTTGCTATTTCAGTCCCGTCTACTAGAATGCTAAAGTTTTGCGTGATTGCCTTTGCTACTTCAGCCCCGTATGCTGAAGTTACGCGAAAAAGTAAGTACACTTGCAATTTTTTTTTGCAAAGCGGACACAAGTTAAAACGTAACTCAAAAAGCAGGTATAGATGCAAATGCCCCACCGTACACCCCTAAGGCAAAGACTTGCATTAAGTAGGCCAATCAACTGGACCAGAAAAATTACCCAGATTATGCAAAAGCCCATAAAGAACTTTGGGCCTAAAAGGCCTGTAGACCCAATAGCAGGAAACCCATCTCTAAATCCCAACGGCTAGTTAGTATAGCATGCTTCTAACGGTCGCATTTTGTTGCCCACTCTCCAACCATTATTCCACTACTCCTATAAAAATACTCTTATCTCTTTCCACCATTTGAGTCCTTTAATTTCTCTTAATCTGAATACAGCCAGCGCATTAGGAAAGCCAATAATCTGCCATTTTTCTAATGGAGACTCCATCATCAACAAGAAGAGCAACAAGATCACAAGTCCTTTCTGCTTCCAATAGTAATGAAGATTCAGCTTTTTATAGCAAAATTTCTTTAACTTGTTTGTGCCTATACTAATACTATCTTTTTTGTTCAGAGATGAATAAAGAATCTGAAAACAAACAAGTGACCACCAAATCAAGATCAGCTCTCATTGATTTAACAAATTCACCCATTGTTGGGCTAGCAAGTGGGAATTTGGAGACCCCATCATCTGCAAAAGGAAGAGAGTGTTGTACTCCAGGGTCAGGGGAGGCAATATTGAGGTGTCAAGTGAAGAACTTGTTACAAATGGTTGAGGAAGAAGCTGAAATATCATTGGCAAAAAGGCAGCCTCTTTTTCATGTAAAAGGTCATTTTGTTATTGCTCCTGCAAATACACCACTTGTGGATCTATCTGGTAATGAGTTGCTGCCACCTGTCACTGCATCTCCTGTACACGACAACTTTGTCATCTCTCGGGTATATTATATCAGCTTTCACAACAATTTAGCTTCTATACATTGATTGATAATGTATAACAAGTTATTGACTACAACGATATATCTATAATATTAGAATTTGTAACCTCGAAATAAGAAAAGCAACCTGCTAGAACAAGTTAAAATTAAACCAATAGTGTAAGGATTCTCTGCATTCAATGTCTATAAGTTAAATAAATGCGAGTCAACAAATAAGTTACTCTCAAATAAGTCATATCATTTTTTGACTAATATCTTTGTATACTATATTTTAAAAATTCAGTTATAATAATATTTTATTTATAAGGCATTTTATGTTGTTTCAAAATATATATAAAAGATGGTATAAAACTCAATGATTTGACTGACCCCATGCACGACAAAAAAAGAAGGTTTTTCTTCATTTACCTCGATTGGTGTTTGATATGAGATATTAAAGATTTTGAATTGTTTGTATATATTGTATGTTAGATAATGAATGAGATGTTTGAAGTGAAGAAAGAAGAGAGTAGTAGTAATATTACAAGATCTCTACTACTGGATTTTACTGAAAAGTCAGAAGAAGAGGATGAAGGAGTAGTTGATGAAGTATGTGAGACAATGAAGAAGATCAATGTTAATGGAAAAATAGGTGGAAAGCACACTCGGTTTGTGTATGATGAGTTTGAAGGAGTAGAAGAGTGTGCTGATTTTGCATTTGAAAGGATTGCCTACTCCTAGAGGAAAGCACTTGCATTTCCCCGAGGATACCGAATGAAAAGCTTTCTTCTTTTTACACCAACATCTGAGGTGTTTTATTATTTACTTTCTCTAACTTCTGGTCCATATTTGATTTGGACCATTGAGAATTTGCTGCTAACTGAAATAATTCAAAAATTATCTCTTTCCCAATCTCTCTCTCTCTCTCTCTCTCTCCCATGACAGTTTATCAATATAATATAGTGAATAAATTAATCTAGGTAAGTATCAAGCTGTGTAGTGCAAGAAAAAAAAATTATGGTGAAACAACCAAGCTCACTTAAGCAGATTCTGATGAAGTGGATACGAACAAGTAAATTTTGTGGTAATCATGCTTGAGAAAAGAGCAAAAATATCAAACAAGACAAATTTTGCATAGCAAAAAATATCACAGTAGTAAGTAGAAATCAAAACTTCTTTTTCTTGAGGAAACCAATAACTTCTTTTTCTTTTCCATAAGTAGAAATCGACTCTTATGAATATACTTTTTATCTACATCATATGAATTGAACACATATAAGCGTCAATAATAAACAATCAAGATTGGCCTTTCCCCCCAAGCAATCAAAATAGTCACAACATGCATTCACTTATCTACAGCCACCCAGACTTTTCGCGTATCTACAGGTCCTTGTCGATTTCGACCAAAGTAATGTGGCTTGAAATTCCTCTCAATTGATATCTTTACTGTTTCCTTATTCGCTTCTCGTGTTCCCAATTGTTTTCTGGTAGAATGCCTTGGTTTAAACGTGTTTGAATTCTCATATCTATCTGCTTCGTAGGATAATGGCTGAAGACCTTGTAAATCCTGCTCGGGAACATATCCAATTGGCCGTTTAGATTCATCCATTCTCCTAAATGTAATTGAAATCCTGCACATTGTAAAAGGTTAATGAGATGTTATGTCTAAAGCAAATGTTTGACAGAAGATTCACCAACAGGAAACTAAAGTTCCACTTTCAGCATAAACCTTTTAGTAGGAACAGCTGGCACACAATGTTTAGCCACATCAGCTCCATTTCCATTCAAGACAAGAGCAGACCTGTAGGAAGGTTATGCAATTGATAGTAGTCGAAATCTTGCAAGGACAAAGCTAAAACCCAGAATACTTACCCCACTGGCAAGGGAATTGCAATTGCACCGGCAAACTCACCAGGAGCCACTGTTTTCAAGTTTGATCCAAACACTATATTGCACTCGCTAAGGAATGAGACAGTACAAAATGGACGAACAAACTCATGATTGTCGATATGAGGTGGTATGCAATCCCCCTCTTCATAAATATTGACTATACAGCTGTCTGGAACACAATTTGGTGGCATAACATGCCATCTTACGAGCCTTCTAATCATGACCTTAAGAAGATTAGGCAATGGATCAACAGTTTCAGTCTTGAGAATCCCTGGGGGGTTGCCTTGCTTATCCTGCCATAAAGAAAATTCAGTTATAGATATCTACATTCCCTTTTTTAAGTGATCTACCCATATCTGTCACAACCTAATTGAATAAAGTCAGAAATAAAGCGAAAAAAGTTTTCTCCAGAGATGGACTAAAATCTAAAGCATACAGGCGATGATTCTGAGCCTCCTCTTTTCTTCTTCCCTGGCCCCCTCCCACTTGGAGCTTGGGGGGAAGGAGAGATTAGGATAATTTCAAGTCAAAGACTTACCTTAGCATAGTTGTAGCAACAACCAAATTGGATTGTCACACGTCCTTTACCCCTCATCCACTTCCGTGGCGCTGTATAAGTTCGCTCTAAAACAATCAAAATAGAGCAGGTCAGAGCACGCTAACGCACGGAATTAATAACTGAAGTACAAAACAAATAGGTATTGAAACATAAGGAGGAAGTAGATAGAAAATTTTACCTTCGTCCCACAATCATCAAGGAAAAGGTAAAACCACATCAAATTGATTTGAAGATGTGAGTGGAGACGGAAAAAATCCTTAAATCATTATGATGACCACCAGAAGTGGAATTAAGATTCAAAACTGAAATTTGAAGACAAGCATAAAACATTTGTGCAAAATGCACATGCCTTAACAAAGTAACTGACACACTTTGCACAATTAACTTAAAATCCCCGTAGAGCAACTCTAAATTGATGCCTCAGTCTTTGATTTTGGCTTTGCTTCCCATATTCCATGCTCAATAGAATTCTGGAATACCTTATCTAGTATTTTTTCAATCAGGGAACAATTTCTAAGTTTTAACAGGAAATGAGTAACTAATTGTGTAATCTACTTCATCCAAACGAAACATGAACAAGTTTTCTCTGTTAGATTTAGCAAGGGCTAAGGCCTCATCATAAATTCCTGAGTACAACAGTAACTTTCATCTGGAAAAGAAAGAAAAAAGGGTTCGCAAAGTTAATAAAGAAAAAACTGACCTTTTAATTGCCCATTCTTCCCCATCTCCTCAAGCTTCTCTACAAATTTAACAATCCTATTTTGCTCAGCCATGCTAAAGACACCAGTATGTAGCTCCAAGCCATCAAGTATATTCACAACTTCCCCATTAACTCTTTCCAAGCATATGAAATCCTTTTTCCTCTTTACATTACAAAACCGAATGTGCTCTCTTTCCTCCCTTGACAGTTCCATTTTTCACTTAGTCTCCTGAATAGAAGTTTCCTCTTCATTCACACCATTGCCATTACCTAACTGACTACTCCAGCTAGTCGACTCACTAATATCCTCAGCATCAAGCTCATCCTCCTGAGCCATATCTGCCCATGACATTTTCATCCTCAGGCTTGCTGCAGGTATGGGTGAGCTGAATGTTTTACTTCTCGAGGCCTCTTCAACAGGTCGTGATGAGCGATCTGCACCACCTACATAACTATCTGATCTATTCCTACGCACCGATGCCTCATCAAAACGCTCAGGCCCGTCTGCACCGTCTTTCCAACTACCCAATGAGTTTGTATCTGCAGTATCATAAAAGTCAGCACACTCTTTCCAACTCCCAAGTGAATTGTTGTCACAATTGTCAAGTTTTCCGTTACAATCATTGGAATCAGGAAGTTCTGGAGTAAAAACTGTGAAATTCTCTTGTTGCTTAAAATGTTCTGCACTATCTGCGCCGCCTTTCCAACTACCCAATGAGTTTGTATCTGCAGTATCATATAAGTCAGCACACTCTTTCCGACTCCCAAGTGAATTGTTGACACAATTGTGAAGATTTACGCTATAGTCATTCGAATCAGGAAGTTCTGGAGTAAAAACTGTGAAATTCTTTTGTTGCTTCAAACGTTCTGCACTATCTGCGTCGTCTTTCCAACTACCCAATGAATTTGTATCAGCGGTATCATATAAGTCAGCACACTCTTTCCAACTCCTAAGTGAATTGTTGACACAATTGTCAAGATTTCCGTTACAGTAGTTCGAATCAGGAAGTTCAGGAGTCAAAACTGTAAAATCCTCTTGTTGCTTTAATCGTTCTGCATCACCAGCAGCCTCTGCAGTCATAGCAACAAACTCTCTGATCAGAGAACTCACTAATCTATAATTTCTTCTTTATCAGAATCCACAACATAAGAATGAAAAGATAAAAAAAAAAACAGTTTGCTACACCACATCATTATCCACCTAAGAAATTTCAAGCTTTCACAACTTATCTACAAACTATATGCATACTATGTTGAACCAACATGTTGAGCCATCTAATGTTATGTTCCACACTAGATTTATAAGGACATCCAAGTGGGTTCATAAAAGTCTTGGTTACTCAACATATTGTGCTTTAAGCTCTTCCATTGGATGCTCAGGTTCTTTCATATAGTATCATAGTCAACTTTTGTTATTCATGCTTTTACACCCTTAAGTCCCCATTAAAGTCCATACTTGAAACTAGGTCGAGTTATACTTGCAGGAAACTGGTATATAATATCAAATCTCACATTGGTATTTAAAGACACTTAGATGAATTTACAAAGATCTTGAACTACTTCACCCATTGACTAAAATGCTCTAGGGCTACAAAGATACTTATCAAATCATTAACACTACATGAATCTTGGCTGGATTTTGGTACTCTTGGGTAGTTGTAACAGTGTGGAGATCCCAAGTTCAAATCCCAACCACCACATTCAGTGTGAGCTCATATGCTCAAACCTTGGTGGACAAGATTCTTGCTCCCGTGCTTGTGGTAACAGGCCCAAGACAGAGTCAGGAATTTATGCAAGGAGATTTAAAAGGAAAGAAAAAAGCTAGAATGTCACACATGGAATTTGAAGTTGTGACCTAATGCAATTTTTTAACACCCTTTGCCACTACACTAGAATCTAAAATCTTACCTAATGTCAAGGGGATTCAAACAGTTTACATATAACCAAAAAAAAAACTCATTTTTGCCCTATTTGCACAATATAATTTTTCGACGGAGGGGATTCAATTGAACCCCAATGGCTCTACATAGCTCCGCCCTCCCAAGTTGGCTGGTTCACCAACGTATCAAAAGCCAGAAAACCCATAATGGGGTTTCAAAAAAAAAAATCACAATAAGGAGGAAAACCTAAAAGCTGGAGAATTTATGCATATGGTGAGCATTGTGTGTAAGTGTATTGAGGTAATGCACAAAAAGCTGGGGAATTTATTATATGCATAATGTGAGTATTATTACTTACACAAGGTACGAAAATTACCAATTCCTTAAACATGTTACAACATTATTACAAAATTTTAAAAGGGATAAGAAGAGAGAGTTACCGAGGTCGAGGGATCGAATGCAACGGGAGAGTGTGAGCGTACAGCTTTGGCAGAGGCCACGAGAGAGAAAGGGGAACCAATTAGATAGAAACTCAGAGGCAATTAGGAGTTCGTCGGCGGTGTAACTGAGGAGAAAAGGGTCGATTTTTCGGCTTCGTTGGTGATCGGACATGGCGGCAAGTTGACTCAGTGAATTGGGGTGGTCGAGTCAATGAGTATGGAATTGCAAGTAATGCAAATTATTTATTTAAAATAAAGGAAATTTTCACATAATAACAACTACTCGGCTCCCTGCTTTTTAATTTTATAGCTTATATTTCAATTTACAACCAACTAGCCTAAAAATAATAAGCTAAGATTCAACATACAATTCCAATAGGTTCTCGAAATTACTATTTAATTTTTTAAAAAGATTGCTCAGAGCTTTTACGTTAATTTTTGAA